GCTTAATCATTATTTTTTTCAAAAAAGTCTTTTACCTTTGTCCACTGTTTCTGCTCTACACATTCAATAGCACAATGTGTCTTCTGGTCGTAAAACTTATTGCAGACACAATTGTACATTTATGTATGTGTGTGTTCTAAGTATCAAATTTCTTATTTCTAAAATGAACAGTCTCCTGTTCCTGATGACTCACCCAAATGGTCACAAGTTGTAATTGTCCCTGGTCATTTGCTCCTGCCTCTGCACTCAGCATTGGGTGGGGTAAACTGAAGACCCCCATGACTTGTTCTTAGTACTCAAGGTCAGTATTGATGCTGGCTTTTAAAAGCATAAAAGAGAAAGAAAGAAAATATATTCTTGAAAACTAGGAACAGAATATTGTACCATGATCATTCAGTCAAAAAAGAAGTTGGATTCGAGTTATAAATCAGCTAGAATCCTTAAGTTAATAATAAAAATCATAGACCAAGGCTGAGTGGTAAACAAGTACAAGCTCCGCAAGCATCTGAATTGTGCAGGTCTCCTAGATCTCACGATTTCAATGTCATTATAAGTGACAAATTTCATTTCCAATTTACAGCTGATGCAGGTATGCAAGAACTATGGATCTATCACTAGCCTGGGGATGCTTGTTGCTATTGCTAAGAAATTTATTGTGAAAAAGAAAAACAAGGTCCAAAACATTAAAAGAATCCATAAATTTGAATAAAGAATGTGGGAAGCAATTATAAAGTATAGGATGATGGAGAATTTCTTCTCCTCCTTAATATATTTTTTTCTATCACTTACTACTAGAATTCATTCTCCTGCCTTTCTTCCTTCTTTCTTTTTCTTTCTATATTTATTTTTCTTTTCTTTCTTTCATCTCTTTCTCCCTGCTTTCCTGTCATCCTCCTTCTCCTCTTCCTCTTTCTCCTTTTCCTCTTCATCTTTCTCATTCTCCTCCTCCTCCTTTCTTGTGAGTCTAGACATGGAGCCCAGGGCCTTATGTATTCTAGGCAAATGTTCTACCATTGAGGTATATCCCCAGGCTTTTCATTTCTCATACTCCAGAATTTTTTTTGTGGAATTATTACTTTGAAGCCACAAAATATTCTTTAAATTGTATGTCCTTGGAAAGGCTGGTAGTCTTCCACACATGAGCATATATTAGTTTAATTTATTTATTTTACTCAGTTTTTACTTGCAGCATACTAAAGAAATGTTGACTCTTGAAAACAGGAGTAAATAGACAAGCTGGGTAAGATAGGAAAAGTAAAACCAGAGTGAGGACTGTTGGTGTATGGAAAAGAATTTTTGGAGAATGCTGGGAAAGTAAGGTGGAAAGAAAGAGGTTGACATTATTTCCACCTATTTCAACACCAACCAAGGCCGGTGCTGTTCTCACCGAGAGAGGAAAACAAATTTCTTCCTCTATCTACTGCATAGAATCAGCCCAGCTCCTAGGACCTGATGTGAATTTGGTACCATAATAAACCTCAGACATTTAATAGGCTTCTTGGAGCTAACCTAGTGACATGGCTATTGTAGGAAAATGAATGTTATTCCAAGTAACTTAGAGGTAGGATTCTTCTAGCTCTAAAAACAATGGTTAATTTTGAAGAATATCATCAAGATTGAGCCATACGAAATTCCTAATATTCTAATGATTATGATCAACAAAAATGGCAGATATGATTAACCTAATAGTTGATCAGTTGATGAATTCCTTACCTAAAACCACATCAGCAGAGTGAAAAATTTGAAAAGCTATTAGCTATGCTGTATAGTACAGGGATTACATATATATAATATGCTATTATATATTATATTATTATATAATTCTAATATATCTGATATAGTTAAATACACAAGTTTTTATAAAGGTCCTTGTTCTACAAAAATTTGAAAAGCTATTAGCTATGCTGTATAGTACAGGGATTACATATATATAATATGCTATTATATATTATATTATTATATAATATATATTTATATTATATAATAATATCAGAGAGAGAGAGAGAGAGAGAGTCTCTACTGGTCTTGAAGAAACACTGTGATTGATGATGTTATGCTGTTAAAAATAGTTATATTATAAGCCTAGTTCCCTGGATGAAGCTCCCTGTGTCATGCTAATTTATTAGACAGTGGTTCTGTCCATAGCCCTAGGCAACTAAGATATCAAAATCCTTGGGTGTTTTGCATTGAGATCCACAGTGAGAACCATGGGTTTCAGGGAAACTGTAGGTGAACTCAATTTTGTCTTGCATCACTTAATACTCACAACAGGGTTTTGCCATGTGGTCTGGTAACCTTATAGCCTGAGTTTACTTATGCTACAAGGGAAGACTGCTTTTATATTTTCCTTTTCTTTTGCACAATAGCAATTTAAAAGTCTCTAACTTGGCATCTAGATGAACTACAAGATCTTTTTCAGGTCATTAATTATTAGATTTTAAAAGTAAAAACAAACTATGCCTATGGCCCTATGCAGTTATTTCTATAATTATATGCACAAAATAGTCAACAATAATTCTTGAATGAGAAACTGGCTTTCTTTTTACTAAGCTTGTGGGCACTACATGTTTCTTTAATACCATCTCTTATTTACTAACAAAAATTTTAAAATACAATTAATTTAAAATTTAAGCAGAGAGGGCTAGAGAGGGCTTTGTGGTAAAGTACATGCTGAGCATGCCTGAGACACAGTGACTTATAAAAAAATACCACAATAAGATGTAAGCATACAAATGTTTTACTTATGAAAGCACAGAACCCCTCCCTGTATAAATGTTTACATCCTGTTCTTGTTCTTTTTGGTGACCTTACCATTATTGTGATTTTTAAAAATAATAATTCTTAGGAACTGTGGGAGGCAGAACAGACAGAAGATTTTGATGATGGAAATTGATATTTATTCTGCAAATATTTGTAACTACCTGTTATGTGATAGGCCCTGGGCTTGGTACTTCCTCCTTTCCATAACTTCTGGAAGCCTTCTTGTGTAAACATCCAAGCATTTTTTTTCTTTGAGAGTAGAGTTCTGCATGCTTAAAATGCTTCCCATAGATAAATGGTGGCCTGTTCTACATGAACATAGCTACTGATTAGCTCTTCAGGGAAAATCATCCACAGCATAGTACTCAGGTGGGTCCCAGGCGTTTGGCTGAGGCAGATACTACACAGATGACCTAGCTTGAGTTAGCAGGTACTTTGTATGGATGGCAGACTGCTCTTAAGTAAATCAGTATGGAAGAAAGAAAGTTGAAAGGGAAGATTTAAAAAGGAAGGTGGTAAGGAAGAAGAGGATTATTGGCAATAGAAACTGGTATAATACAGGAATGCCTTACTTGACAAAATTGTTGAATTACCCAAAATCTGATTTCCAAGTTTTAAAACCAGCATCTCAACACATTAAGAGAGCCTGGCAAATTCATTAAGCTTAATGCTTAAGACAACTTTTATAAAGTCACAGGATATCCTTATTTCAATTCAGATTTGGTACAGATGATGTAAGAATAAAAATTAATTATTAATAATGGTTAATAATAAATAATAATAATGATTCCCATCTGCTGGCCTACTCCTTCTTTCCTGGAGAATGTTTCCTGGTTGTCCTCACACTCTTGTTTTAAAAACATTAGACATACACTATTTCTGTAAGTTATCACATAAATATCATGAGAATTCTTTTCAGATTTGCAAATGAGAAAAATACTTAAAGCTAGAGCTACTTGACCACCTCTAAACCTGATTGGGGGCCTCAGACATGTCTCTCCAAAGATAGGCAAAGTACACATGACTTCATTAGGGAAATCCCTCCAATTTTCATATAATAGCCCACGTGCCCTAGGCATTTCTTCCATTTTCCTCCTCCGAATTACTTTCCTAGTTCTACTGCATGGCCTACCTTTCCAGAGCCCACTATGGATTATGCCACTCTTCTGGCTCTACACAACCTACAAAATAAAGCGCAGGCTCCATAGACTGGCAGCCAGGTCCTCTGTCTCAGCACATCCATTCTTCAATTCTCTTTCCTTTTCAATTTGCCAATTCTTGCTACTTTTACTCCAATTGAGCAGGGCCAGCATAGGACGAGGAAAGACACAAAATTTAAGGGTTTGCCATAAACTTGGCAATCAAAATTAATATCTTAATGCAATATTTTAAATAAAAAACTAAAATTAGCTCAAAATACATAATAAATAAAAATAAAAGTTTCAAATAAAGACAGTATCAGTGTTACTTATATTTCCTTTTGCTCCATACTAAAATATCTCTCAGGAGCTCTGTTACTTGTCTTGCAACGATTTCCCACTCAGTTACTTTTATAATGATGTTTCCCCAAAGTTAGTTCTCAGGACCTCTTTCTACATTAGCTGCCTCTCTCTTCTTGAAATGCTCAAGCATCTATCAGTAGTAGTTCACTTCTGTCAGAAAAACCTATTTCCCCTCATACTTTGAAAATAGTCTGAATCATCTTGGATCCTTTCCAGGACCTCCCTAAATTACAGTGGGCACTCAGCACCTTTTCACGAAAAGAATGCAGAGTTTATTGACTCCAATTAGCTGAACAGGGAAGGGACTCAGACGTGTTTTATTTGGTCCAGAGAGTTTTGCAAAAATTGAATTTGTTATTGAGATTTAATAACCAGGATATTTACATGAAAAAAAACCCTAAATTTGTCATTTCTTAAAAAACAAGAAAATCCAGCAAAATCAGGTCTGAAATCTTGAAGCAATGGGCATTTAGAGCAGAAAAGCAGCCTTGTTTTTAGAGCTCTCTCAGTCTGCTACTTCCTCCTACCCTTTCTGCTCATTCACCTACCTGGCCAGTTAGCTTTCTACCTTAGGCATGAAGAAAGGAGTGGACTGGATAAAAACCCCTCTGTTGGGGCCTACTCCTTTCCTGGAGAATAAATGTTTCCTGGTTGTCCTTTCAAATACAGTCTTTCAGAGACTTACAGAAGCAACCCACTTGTCCAGCCCACAAACTTCCCACAGCCCATGAAACTCACAATGTCTTCCACACTGACCAGTTTCTCCCTGGTGCTTTGCTCAGAGGACTCTCCTCTACACTGGCTCTTCCCTGCCTCCCCGCGCTCCTGGCCCTGGGACGCCTGGTGTGCCCTGTCGCTACTCTTTGCCCCAGGCCAGGGAGCTCAGGCTCGCCCACGGCGGCACTGGGCATGCTCAGAGGCAGCCGCGGGGGCAGGTTTGCTTCGCGCTCGGCGGCGGGCGGGTGGCGCGCGGCTGCAGCTGGAGCTCCAGCGCCGGAGTTGGAGTTGCCGGGAGTTTCCCCCTTCACCCCTCCCTCTGCGCGCGCGGCAGCAGGAGCCCGCGCGGGAGCAGCAAGCAGCACCAAGCCCGCACCCCGGCCGCCGAGCCCTGTCCGGAGACCGGAGCCCCGTGCGGAGCAGCCTCCGGGAGGAGCCTCGCGGGCTGGGACGCGTGCCGCGCACTGGCACCACCGGGGCACTTGTCCGGCCGCACGGTAGGGCCAGAGTACTGGGAACCGGGTGGGTGAGGAGAAGGCCAGGCCGGGGGCGGGGAGGGGGACGCGGTTGCAGCTGCTGCAGCTGTTGGGGCCCCTGACGCTCAGTCCCGTCAGGCGGCCGGCCGGGGCAAGGGCTCAACTGTGGGGCGGGAGGAGCAGGCAGGCGCCCAGGGAGATGCCTTCAAGTCGGCGGGCGGGAGAGGGGCTTCGCGCCCCGCCGCAGCTGCTTTGTGAGCGCTGAAGGGGACCCGGTTCCTGATTCTATCCCAACCTAGGACCCGGTGTGCGGCTGAGATTGGGCAAACCTCAGACCAGCGGAGCAGTTTCCTCAAAGTTGAGGATGGAGCCCTTCCTTTGGCACTGCCCCTATGGTAGTATGGTCCCTGAGGGTGTCGCCTGGAGGCTTCCAGTGTGAGGAACTCCGGGACTCGCGGCGCCCCTGGGCTGAGCTCTCCCACCCCCTGCTGAAATCAGTGAATTGTCCCTTATCTTTGTGGATCCCGACATCTCCTAGGAAAATCATTGCTGCCAAAACTGAGGCGGGCTTCCCAGCGGGCACAGCTCCCTGCTCCTAGGCGGTTGGTATTGGGCGATGCCTCCTCCCCAACCTCAGACACAGTCCAAGGGCGCCGGGTTGCGAATTCGCTCTTGCAGTGGGCTCCGGAACGGAGCCTCTCACACAAGGTGGGGCAGCGTGGCTGGAGTCAGTGGGCGGCCTGATTTTTCCTCCTGCCTTCCTCAGGTTTGTAACACCCCATAACCCCACCATCCCACCCCGCTCACCATCGCACAGGCCAGGGCCTGAGGGTCAGGTGGAGAGTTTAGATTGGCATACTGTTTGTTAGGAGAGGGTGCGTGGGGCCTATCTGCCTTTGATTCTGGTCCAGGACTTAATAATGAGCCTTCTCCCTTTTCTGTTATTTTTCCCTCAGGGATTGGGTGGGAAAGAATAATGCCAGCGAGTCCCCAGGACACTGTCTCATTCCATCCTGTCCTAAGTTAGCTTTCTAGGCCATCCTCGGGCTCTGAACTGGCATTGTGTGGACTGTGAGGGTGTGGAGGATGCCTGCGGTTTCTCCTCCGGGCTCCACTTTTTCCACTTCTTCTTTTGAGTTTTGGGGTTTTGCCTGCGCACGAGTCAGAGCTGCGCTGTCATAACCCCAGGGGTGGGGGTGGGGTGGAGGAGCCTCTGCCCAGGCAGGGAGTCACTGTTTGCCTCCAAGGCTGCTAGTGGGAATCTGTCCAGAAGTGATTATGCAGGCTAGAAATATGCCTCTCTGTCTCTCTTTTCCCCCTTTCTGGCTGAACACCTTGACTGTTGGGTTTGTGTGTTAAATTCTTAAAGGAGCACCCATGTGCTGCTAAGTGCCATGTTTTAGGAGCCCACTATTGCTGCTGAATGTTTTTCTTTGTTTTTTCTTAGGGTCTATCCAGTTTGGGACAGATTCCTAGATACAGGAATCACATAGTGTGGATATGCAACACAGGTTCCAGAGTCAGATCTGAAGTCAAGTTGCAGCTTTACAGCTAATGACAGAGCTGATAGACAAATTATTAGCCACATTCAACCTCAGTTTTCTCTTCTGTCAAATGGGGATGATCATGTCCTTATCCCTCTCTATTGCAAAATTGTGAGATTTGGATAAAGTAATGGAAATATAAAGTGCTAAGAAAACTTTAAAGCACCACTCATGCCTTAGGGATTGTCTCTATGCTTTTCACTCATTTTTTGTTAACTAATTCTTAAATATAACAAAACACCAGAGTCTTTTCCCAGCTAAGTACCAGGAAATTTAGTGACGCAGCTCTTTGAAAGTGGCCATTTGCTCCCTTCTCCTCACCCCTTTCCTGGATTCCATCTCTTTTGATTCGATTTGAAGGGTTGGAACTTCAGTTCTCTTATCTCTCTGAGGGAGGCAGAGATCAGGAGACCCCCTGGGCTGCCTTATCAATGTTCACATTCCTAGGCTCCACCTCTGTCCTGTCAGGAAAACCTTGGTTTGATATTCAGGGTTGATGAAGAAGTCAGCAGACCCTAGGATGGAGCCTTGACTGGACTTCTCTTTGTGCCTTTGAACTAAGGACTCAAAACTCTCACTGGAGAAATCAGTCTTTGAGATAAACGTCAGTGCCAGTCAGAGGCAGGGATTGGTGAAATTGTCTGTCACTCAGTCAGGGTTTAAGTAGGCTCCTGCATTGCCCCAGGTGTGCATTTTCCTTGATCCTTGGGCAGTGGTTCTCAACAGGAGCATCAAATCTCCTGGAGGGCTTGTTAAAAGACAGATTGTTGGGCTATCCACCCAGAGACTGTGGCAGTCTAGGTCCAGAGAGGAGGACCAACAAGTTAAATTTCTTGCTAATTTCAGATGATTCTAATGCTGCTAATCTAGAGATCATGCCTGTCACATGGCTGAATTATATGATGAGAGAGAAAAAGTGAAATTTCTTCTGAAATGTCATTGTTTTAGTGCTTCCTATATGGAGAAACAGGGTTTCTTACAAGTGTTCTAGGAAGTTGCTTTATGCATTTTATATTCCAATACCTGCTCCACTTGCCATTGTCCAGTTTTAATGATTCTGATTACTCATTAAATAAATGAATTTTACAAAAAGATAGGTTCTTCTCTTCATTCTATCTATTGATTGATCTATCTATCCCTCTGTCTAGGTAGATCCAACAATTACCTTTCCTTTCTTGGGTTTCTCAGATACTTGTGCAAAGGAAGTTGTGTGACACTTGTGCAAAGGAGTTGCATACAGTTCTGACAGCTTGAACCATATGGTTGGAGGACAGGTAAAATCACATAGGAGCAAATTTGAAAAGTATTTTCAGTGGTGTCTTCTCTGAATGGGCAGTTTAATCAAGGCTTCTGAGGAGTGTGAAGTACACTGGATGACAAGTTGTTTAATGGTGACCTTCCGTGCCTTCTTGAGGATGGTTGGCATTGGCAATGGCTTATACCCTTACTCTCCAAGGGTGAAGAAAGTCCGCTTTCAGGGGCAGCTGTGTAGTATCAGGGGTGTGCCATAGATGAATTATGTTATGAGTCAGCACTATTTGGACTCAACCCAATTTTAAATTCTTCTCTTTGTCTTCTAAACCATGCTGAGAGTTTGCCATGATTTGCTGCAACCTAGACTGTGGCCTTGAACTTTAACTTCTTTGCATAAGAGACTTTAGGAACCTGCTTGAGTCCGGAGGGTTCCTGAGATAACATCCTAAGAAAGAAAGAAATTTATGTCACAAAGCACCCAAATGGACAAGGTGTCTGAGGAGGTTATTCAGCACTTTAACCAGTTCTTGTGTTTTTATGCCAAGTGGAATCTTAACAGACCATCACATTTTATCTCAGCTTTCCATTTGTGCTTTGTTTTAGTGTTAAAATGATTAGCACTAGAGAAGCCTATCAGTAAATCAGAAACCTATTCAAAAGCTCAAGTGTACCACTTAGTGTTTTAGTAGATAAAACTCTAGACCCAAACCTGCCTTCCTGGCAGTAATCAGTGCTTGGTAAAAGAGAGCCTTTGTGCTGTAATTCTTTTGATTTGGTAGCTTGTTTAAATGCTTTCTCCCACTTAACAGAAGTAGGGAACATTTCTGTTTAAAATTCCTTCCCATAACTTGATGCGTATATTTTGGGTGTTTCCCTACTTTTTGCTATGGGGATTTTTTTCCAGCGTGAGCAAAGCAGTTTTCCTTATCATTGTTTGTTTTTCTTAGCAGTGACTGTCTGATATCTTTACTCCTTTTAATAAATCTGTTGCAAGACAATCATTGCATTGAGATACTTACTTTCTCTTTGGTTGTTCTGACTCTTATTCCTGGGTCACAGAGAGTCAAGGCCCATTCCTGGAACCAAACTCCAACTTTCCTAGAAGGTGCTTTTAAACCAAAACCCTGGTTAATACTGCAGTAGCTCAGTTCTAATAATCATTTTTTTCTTGTTTTAGCATTTTTCAATTTCAGAAACCCAGGTAGGTCTTAAACATTATGAATATGTTTAATATACATTTTTCCCTACTATGGTAAAAGCGTCTACCAACTGATGGTGTCTTTAAAAAAAGCAAATTTATTTCCTCAGCCCAGTAGAGAATATGGTTTCTACCTACCCAGCTTTGTCCAGCTGATAGAATTGAGCAGCAATTGAATTAGCTCAGCAGTTTGCAGAGTATGTTAAAAGAATGCTGTTGGGGTGGATGTTAATAGGTGTGCTCTTGTAAAGGGCAAATCAATTTGGGAAGCAGTCCCCATTATTCTTCCCTCTTACCGAGATTCTCCATGTGCCCATCATTATATCAAAGACTCTGCAAAGTACCACGTGTAACAGTATCAACAACAAAATGCTGGTTAAATTTATTCAACTTAATGCTTGTTTCGCAGAACACCGAACAGTTTTAAGCTTTTATTTGTGTCTTTTAGGACGTCATTACTGAACTAGCACATTTCAACAATTCTAGTATGTTGTTTAATACTAACTAAGGGTGAGGTGGTTTAACCTAGTACATAAATAGTGAATAAAGGAACATTTTATGGATATTAATTGATTAGCAAACTCCACAAATTATTACTGTTTTTTATTTTAAAGAGAAACATTTTAAACTGTTTGCTAAGAAAGTCTACATGAAGGAGCTGGACAATGATAATGTAAAGGGTGAGGTCATGTTTTTCTGAGGAGAAGGAGCATTTTAGGTTGGTAATATAATGGAGCAAGAGTATGAAGACTTATGGTTATGCCTGCATATAAATAATATAGGACAAAAGGTAGTGCCTAGCACAGTGTGATATTTAGGGTTACTGGTTGTGGATTGCTCTTTCTTGATTCTGTAAATTCACTCAAGTAGTAGATGAGTTCTAGTGATGATGGAAAGTGGTAGATGACACAAGCAGGTAGATGACAGCAAGGAGATTGTCTTCCAGAAAGAGAGAGAGGAAGTGTTCCTGGCCCATTACACAATAGATGTGAGTCTTTCCAGGTATAGAGAGGAGCATTAAAAGC